CCACTAGCCACTTCTGCAGGTGATCTTGAGTGTGGGATGCAATTGGTGGGCATGAAATTCCCTTCGAAGGACTCCCACTGGGATTTCTCACAATGAAGGAGAAAAAGTAGATCAGCCACTGAGGTTCCAGGCTGAGTTCTGCCCTGATGGGGTGGCCCTCGGATGCCACCTTCTTACGTTAATCCTTTGTGCTAAATCCTTTATCCGCAGAAGAAAAACACCCTTGCCTCCCTCCTCTCCTCTTGTCCCCCCAAATCCTAATCAGTAAGGACAAGAAAGTGGGCATAAAATGGGTTGTGAGGGGGAAGGAAAAGGGCTGGCCTCAGAATTCCTTGCCAGAGAAGTCAGTAAACGGTTAGCTCCTTCCAAGTACCAAGAAAACAAGTCTGGGGTCCCTTTCATGCCGCTGGCCCTCTCCTCTACCTTCTGCCCGCTCTCCCTTGGCACAGCTCCCCCTCCAGGGGAACTTTCTTTTTTGTTGGACTAGGAGGCAAACAGTCTTTGGCTTAGTGGCCCAGGAGAGGTACAAAAATGGGGGGTTAAGGTCCTCTCCCAACACAACCTGATCCCTCAACCCCACCTGGGTCACCTTGCTCCCCTGCCCCAGGGCTCACCCACCCAATTGGCTCCCAGAGGAGGGAGGAGCACTTTCTAAATACTACCCTGCAGTGGCTGAAGTCAGGGACTTCACTGATGGAAGTAGGAAGACCCAACTCTCTCTCTAGGCCCCCAGCACCTCCTAGAAAGGGGCTCTTCGACAGAAGAATCCAGAAGGTGTGGGACCAGAGATAACAGACAACTGTTGACAGCATGTAAAAGGGGTGCATGGACCATTTTACCTCTGAAACCTCCCCTTTCCACTCCCCCCCCCACCGCCCCCCATCACCAAGTAGCTTGGGCAGAGGAGAGCCAGATGGGGGAGGAAAACAGAAATCTCTTCCATTCTTCTTCTCCCCCTCCACCAGACTCCCGGACTCCCCCCCCCATTTCTTTGGAGGGGGGTGAGGTAAAAATCCATTAATGTGCAGAGCCCCCCCCCACCCTTTTGAATCTCCTCACAGGATGTGAACAGGGTGGGATTTGGCCCCATTGCCATGGCAACTGCAGTGGGAGTTCCCAGCCGCTAGGCAACCCTCCTGTGACCCTCACTGACCTGTCACCCCTGAAACCAAAGGACAATGGGAATGCGCGCTCCAGAGGCCCTGGATGCCTCTTAATGCTGCCAGCAGTTCTGCCTGCCCTGCCCCCATGCCTGGCCCCAAGGTCTTGCCATGTCCTCTACCTCCCAAAGCTGGCACACGCTTCTCCCAGCCCTCATTGCCCGGCACTGAAAGCCCGTGGGATATCCATGGAGTCCCTGGGGGAAGTCCACACACTGGGAACTCAGGCTAGGATAAAATGCAAGGCAACTTTCGGAGGGAAAATGGCCATCACAGAGGGGAAATGAGTGGGAGGGGGCAATAAGGAAGTAGACCTTGCCGTGGTGAAGGATGGGCCTGGGGGGCAGCTGGCATGTCTACTGGGCCCAGGGTATTCCTTACCAGCAGCTGGGGACCACAACTCCAGCTGGCCAGCAGGATACCCTGTGCAAAATAAGGCTCAATACATGTCTGCTGAGTGCAGCATGCTCCAAGGCCTACTACTCTCCAGAGCCTTTCCTCAGGGTAGTGAGAAAGCCCCAGTGAAAGCCCCAAGGACAGCGTGGAGGTGGTATACCTCCCTCCCTCACAATGAGGGGGTTGGGAGGAGGGAGCCAGAAGCTGGGGTGCTGAATGGTGAAATGGGGCAGCTGGCCAAGGACCCTCTCTCTCTAGTCAGCCATGTCACCCCCACCCCCACCTCTGTTTAAACAAGCTCAGGGCCTGCTGTTGCATGGAAACGGGCGCCTGCTCTTGTTCCAAAGTGACGTGGCTGCCCTCTTCAGCACTGTTTGTTTCAGCCGAAAGTCCTGTCACCGGCCTGACTTCTGACTCGCCCTGTTTATCTCTTGCTCCCCTCTGTCAACTCATTACTCCCAAAGGCCAAGATTGCATTTCTAGGGTTGTTTACCCAGAGCAGAGGGACAGGGCGGACAGGCAGACAGACAGACAGACAAAGGGAGAGGGGCCTGAGTAACCCAAGAAGGCATGAGGAGGAGGAGGAGGAGTTCACAGCTAGCAGACCCACCCCCATCTCCTTTCTCCAGAGTGGCTGCTTAGGGCCAGCAGGCAGTGTAGCTTTTGTCTGTTTTAAGAGCCCCTTTAGGTTGAGAATGGAGTGTTCTCATTCACTCACCAACAGATGTTTATTTAGCACCTACTATGTCCTAGGCCTTGCTCTGTCCATTTCCCATAGGGGACTGTGTGAATGTGATTAGAGCAAAAGGAGGCTGCGTTGAGCCCTGACCTAGAAACTAGGAGACTGGAGGTCCAGCTGCAGCCTTTCCACGTCACCTGGACAAGTCACTGGTCCCTCTGGCTGGCCCCTCACCTGCAAAATAGAAATGTCTACCTCCCAGGGATGGGGAGGAGATTAAATGACACAGCATATGTGAACAAACCAAAGCACCGAACAGATGCAAGGTATTTGTTTGTCCTCGAAGGACTTCCTGGTTGGGGTTGAGAGGGAGGAGGAACCCGTTGGACCAGGCTCTCTGGCCTATACTTGCCCTACCCTACAAATGGTCAGGAACATTTCTTGATGGGGATACCATGAAGTGTGACCCCACAGCTTCATTCATATATTGGGGGTGGAAGGATGGTCCACAGACTATTTCATTTTAATTGACAATTTTGTAATTTTAATTTTGCAGGGTTCTTTTCAGAGTTTGGCGCCAACAAAACCTTTCTTAAGTCTCAAATATTTTCCTTGGCCCTGGGCACTACGCCCATAGTGAGCCCAAATGGATAAAACAGTCCTCTGCAGGCCTCCAACTCTCCACCCCAGTTTATTTGTGAAACAGATATAGGATTTTCCAGGACTTTGGGATATTCCCCAAAACAAACAGGAATAACTGGAATGTGGAATATAGACGGTAAAACACGCTGTGTGCACGCAGGGCGGAGAAACCTGATCAGCGCAGACAGTTCTGTCTCTCTCTGCCCCACACATCTCCCCAGTTAACCAGACATCTGTATCACTCTTCTCTTTTTATTTCCCTCCATGCAACCCCCTACACCCATTTCAAAATTTTTCATAGCTCTGTCTACACAGAGGTGTGGCTGGGGAAGCGTAGGCCATACAAAATGGGTGGCCTTGGAGATTTCTGGTGGGGTGTGTTTTGTTATTATTTTGAGAAAAGGTAGGATTTTTGCCTTTTGACCTTCTGTCCTCGGTAGACAGTCTGTATAGACTCCGAAGGTCTCTTCTCCAGAGACGGCAATGCTTAGAAAAGCTTGGGAGATGCCAGCAAATTCCCAAAGACCATCTCCCTGAGGACAGGACTCAAGCCCTTCCTGTTTCAGTCTCCACCGTTTGCAAGACAAGGTGAATTTTAAAGTTGGAAGTTCTGTTCATGTCTACATCAACCAGTCAGTATATACAGAGATTCCAGACCCAAATTGCACCTGATCCTAACAACCCTGTACTTTCATTTATTTTTTAAAATTTTTATTTATTTATGCATATAAGAACTGGGGTACAGGCCAGAAGTGCGGGGGGGGGGTAAAAGGATTCACCAGAGACAGAGGTGGGATCAAAACAGGCATTTCTACTGAAATACACTGCTAAGGGGAGCAGCGGAAGAGAAAGGAGAGGTCTGCTGCGCCATGTGGGTTAGCTCCCTGGCTAGAGATCGGACTCATGATGCAGTGGCTGCTGATAGCTTGATAGCGCTGTGTTTTCAACCCCTGCACCACCAGGGAGGCCCCACAACCCTGTACTTTTAGCACCAAGAAGGCAAAGCTCAGTGAGACCTATGACTTGGCCAAGGTCACACCATTGGCAAGCAGCTGGCTGAGACTTAACCAGCCTCTAGGGACTCCTGGAATTAGGTTCAATTCCTGTTAATGAAGGCTGACCAATGCAGTGCAGAGTGCTGGGCTTCTGACAGTCCTGCTTCTAGTCTGACCTCTAGCTCCAAGGACTGTGGTGGGAAACGTCCCCTTTGGGGCTATGGAGGGAGGAGCCCAGAGTGAAGTTGGGAGACCAGAGCTATGAGGGCAATGTGGGAAATGCCTCTGTGAGCATGAGGCAGGGATAGGGAGGACTGTGCAGGACCCTACATTTTCCCTCTCTTCAGCAGAACCCAGCCACTGTCAGTGATGTGAGAAACAGAGTCAAATAAGAGAAGAATCCGAAGGCCAGGGCTGGATGGGCCGGTTTTTTGAACTTGTCAAGCACAGATTCTCCCTTTTCTCTGGGTGGGGCCAAGACCTGGGCCCCTGTCATCACCCAATCAGGCTCCCCGCCCTCGGGCTTCTCAATCCTTACAGAGAAGCTGGTCTTTCCTGAACTCCCAAACTCTGCAGTTCAGAAGGAGAATCATGGAGATGAGGAGGGAGAAGGAGAGGGAATATAGACGGGGATTCCCAGTCTGAGCCCTAAAAACAAAGGGCTTCCTTTTCCCAACTGCGTTGGCCACTAGTACCTGAAAGTTTCATCTATTCGCAGCTTGGGTCAGGGGCCCAGACAGAGGTGGGAAAAGGTTTACAATACAAAGTAAAGCTACTCCTGTGTGCAAGCAGGCCTCCCTCTCCCAATCCTGTTAACCTGGCTGGCGTGCAAGAGAATACAAGCAACCACCCACCCAAGACACACACCTTCAAGCCTGCTGCCCAGGGCATTTCTGGGACTGTCCTAAACTCCATGATCTCAGCTCTCCTTCACCCACTCAGTTCTAGTTCTCTTTCTTGAAAGCAGGGCTCTCCCCCAGTTTTAGGGTGGCCACTAGATTGGGAGGGCACAGATGAAATCCCTATAGGCTGGACATTCAAGAATGTTCAAGTGAGGATGCACGGTGGGACCAGCGCATCAGGATGGAGTGGGAAACCTGCTGGCCAGGGAGGGGCGCCAGTTCCTACCTGTTGCTGCTGGAAGTGCAGCAGCTCCGCAGGGCTCATCTCGCCGTTGCTGTCTGCGCCTGCAGCCGCGTCTCTGCCAGCACTGCCTCCAGCTGTGCCGGTAGCTCCAGCCCCACCGCCGCCATCAGCCTGTCCCGAGAGGCTGCCCACTCCGTTCTGACCAGATGGAGCCGACCTGATTGTCTCCGAGGCAGATTCCACCATCATGTCGCTCTAGCGGGACCTGGAAGGGGAGGAGAGACACAGGGGAGGGGCTGAGGCACAAGGCTGGAAGGGCAGGAAGGGCTCCAGGAGGGGCAGCAACTGATGCCCCTCAAGGCACACCCCCCCCAACCCTCCGTCCTGGGCACCTTTTCCTCAACTTCTTTTACGCAGTTTCGGGGACCTCTTTCCTAATGAACCCTTTCCTAGGCCAGGGGGTAAGGGGCTGTTGCAAACTGAAGCCAAGGGCACACAATTGCCCCCCTCCCACACTTCCTCCAGGGGAGGAGCAGGTGCCTTCAGCCTGCCCTCTGCATCCGAAGCCTGTTCTGGTTCTGGCCTCTTCTAGGCCAGGGCTTTGGGAAGAGGAGAGGAGGGATATTGAAAGGACTTGAAAACAGGTAAGCTATTCATTGGGACCTCACTAGTACTCCCCTAAACACCTGTAATGAACTTCATGTTGACTCTGGTGTCCCCCAAGGCAGGCCGTTCTTAAAGGGTCTCCCTCCTCAGGACACGGAAAGGCTCCAATCAATGCTTTTTTTCCACAGCAAAAATGGCTGCCATTTGCCCAGCACATGCTGGGAGCAAGACACTCAGCTGGGCAAGGTCCTGTGCATGCAGGCAGCTACGCCCCCCCCTACTCTGACCTTCCTCTTAAAACCCTCAGCCCAGTCCCTGGTCAAAAGTAGACACTTGATGTTTACTGTCTTTTCAGGCACTGTGATTTCATCTCACAAGAGCTTTGAGAGAGAAAAATGTAAATGCCCAAAGCCAATGTGGGGTGAGTGGATAAAGGACATGTGGTATAGACACAATGGACTACTACCCAGCTAGAGTAAAATAACATGAAGTCCTGGCACTCGAGACAACATGGACAGACCTCGAGGACATTATGTTAAGTGATACGAAGTCAGACTGAGAAAGACAAACACCACAGTTTTACTCGTATGTGGGAATTAGTGGTACTGATGTTTTTGGAGTTGCTGGGTTCATTCTGGATAAGGTTTCGCCAGAGCTCCCCTTTCACCAGCACCAGTGAGTTTCTCCACAACACAGAGACGTTAGTTATATCCAAAAGGGCAGGTTTATTAAAAAGGGGGCAGGAAGGGCTGCCCCAAAGGGACAGGCTTGCTGAGAAGGCCTGCATGGTTGCAGGTGGGCGGCCTTGAGGAGAGCTGCCTCCGCTGAGGGAGGTCAGTGAGAAGTCCTGGCTTGGTACAGGTCACAGGCAGGAAAGAAGGCCGCTGCCCTGTGGAGGGGGAGAGAGTGGCAAAAAGGAGCACCTGCATTGGCACAGGTGGGCAGAAGGGCTGTTGCCCCCTGCCAGTGCCGAGATTGCAAGGACAGTCTTCCTCTCTTTGGGAGGGACTCACTCCTTCTAGGAGTGGCTTGTTCTTGACTTTGAACAAACTATGTAGAATTTGAAAGGGGCCAGATTTCTACAATGGCCCTTCACCTTCAGGTCTGCACTCCTGTCACCCCCTACAGCAGTCTGATACCTGCAGGGGTCTTGTGCTTTGTGATCTAGGCCTTTGCACAGAAGGATCTCAGTTCCTATCGCTGGGTTAATGGCTGTGTTAATTCCTTCTACCCCACCTCCAGCTCTTGGCATTGTGAGCCAGGTTTCTGATCCTGTGGCACCTCCTTTCTAGTTTTTCTATCCTTATCCTCCATCAGTACCAGAAGGGAAGGGGTTAAGAGAGCAGTGAGGCAAATATAAGGGGTTAACTGTGTGAATGCAGAACTGGACCTCCACATGGTATGTACATTGATTTATAATGACACCCCCACACACACACTCATGTTGTAATGCAATGTCACTTCAATTAAAAAAATTTTTAAAGGAATAAAACAAAATATAAACTCTCAGACTTTAAGAACAGTGGTTACCAGAAAGGAAGCGGGTAGATGAGAGAATCAGTTAAAAGGGTTCCATTGTACGATGGAGGACTGAGCTGGACTTCCGGGGCAGTCATCACGTAACACGTATGGGTTGTAACACGTATACCTTGTGACGTTATAAATCAGTGTTACTTCAGTTTTAAAAACTGTGAGATGGTTACTGTTACGCTCACTTTACAGATGGGAAAACTGAGGATTCAGAATTAGGGGCTTTAACCCAAACCCAAAGCAGAGTCAAGGCCAGAAATCCTGTGCCCCTCATGTCCTCCCCATCCCCATGGCTCTCATGGAAACATCCCGAGAGAGAGAGAGAGAGAGAGAGAGAGAGAGAGAGAGAGAGAGAGAGAGAGAGAGAGAGAGAGAGAAGGTACATCCTGGATGGTGCAGGATGGTAAGAAGGAAGCGGTCTGATCCTCCCAGAGTCGTGGCAGTATCTCAGGGGGGTGGACACAGACTGTGATGCAGATGGGGGCACTGAGCAGTTGTGGTTCTCAAAGTCAGGGGTGACCCCAAACTATCCTCTTAAGCCACAGCCTCCTGAGAGGAACATGAATTTCAAACAGGACAAGGACCGTGTTCACCACTGACACTTGACACACAGTCAACTCCCTGAGCCTCAGTTTCCTTGTCTGTAGCATTAACCCCAGTCTCCTAATAGTCCTGTGAGTAAATAAACAACACATACAAACCACCCACCAGGCAGAGCGATAGTCAGCACCTCCTCCGCCTGGCCTACAGGTGAGGGTGAAGCCCTGAGGTGCAGAGAGGCCAGTCTCAGCCCACATAACACAGAGGTCACTGGGCCAAAGCTGAGTGTTCCTTCTTCTGTCTCAGTCCCCTTTTGGCCGAGGCAGGCCCACAACCCCATGGTCACCTCGTCCCAGTGGCAGATAAGGGCCTCATAGGTAGCATATTAGAGAAACTCCTGGAAACTGGAAGATCTCCCTAGTTCCTTCCCCATAGCAGCAGCTCCCAAGAACATCTCTTTCCCTTTCCCAAATTCTCTCTCTCTGGAAGCACTCTTTATGGCTTACTCTACTAGATCACTGCTGGTTTTGTCCCTACTATTAGTAGAGAAGGAAGGAGTGCGAGGATAGAGGGCTGGGGGTCCTGGGGAGCCACATGTGGCCCCTCTCACTCTGTCTCTGACCCAGTGGCTCTGTGTGGCCTCTGTGTGGGGACCCTGACTGCTAGAGCGTCCACGCTTGTGCATTTTTCTGTATGTTCCCAAGGGCTCCCCTTAACTCCCCCAGCTGCCTCTCTCACTCCTGGGTTCTGGGAGAGGAGTTAGGCCAGGGGTAAGGGTGAAGCTGGGGGCGACGGTTTGGAAGAGATTGAGCACTCGGTCTTGGGCCTTAATGGCCGTGTCAGCCCGAGGGCCAGTGGCTGCCAAATGATGGATGGGGTGGGCACCATCCTCCACCCACCAGAGCACAGGGTACCGCACCGCCCGCCCACCCCAACCACCCACCCAGATCCCTCTGCTTCTTCCACTCAGGTCTGGCCACTGCTATTTGAGGGGGAGGGGAAGATATCAGGGGCCCACTCTCCTCTCCCTCTCCCCAACCCTGGCCCTGCTGGGGGTGGAGAGCAGCTGCCTTGATTCCAAGTCTAGCTTCTCTGAGATCTGAGAACTCCTGGGCCCCAGGGGACAAAGACCAGAGCCTCAGGGGGGGTTGTGTGTGCACCAGAGAAAGGAAAGGGAATTCAGCAGTTACTTCCTCAGGGTAAGGGAGAGCTCCCCCTTCTCTCTGTCTCACACACACATACACACAAACCCATAAAGTTGCAGATCAGACAAGTTTGGGAAAAGGAAGAAAAAAGGAAGGAAGATGCAAACAGAGGTGTCCTTTTCTGTCTTTATTGAGGGGGGGTACAGAACAACATAATTGCCGCAATGTGGTGTGTAATAGCTATTCAAGGACTGATCATTCATATTAAACAGGGTGAAGCAAGCCTCTCATTTGCATGCTTGAGATTATATGCATTTTCATTTCCGCAGGGTGCATGAATGACATTAATTCCCATGTGGCATGCTCTGCCCCTTCCCGGGACTTTCACCTCTTTCCATGCTTCCATCCACTCACCAACACCCACCCAAACCTGCATGGCAGTGCTCCCAGGAGATCTCTGTACCCTCTCCTCTGCCCTGGGACACCTGCCCTTCAAGGATAAGCACACCAGCAACTTCCCGCCTCACTGCTAGGTGTTTCAAGGGCACTGGGGAGCTCCCTGCACTGTGGGGAAGCAGGCTTTGGGTACCTGGGGCTAGCTGGATAGGGACTGGCCAGGATGGGGTGGGGTGCTGGAGGCAGGCCTCCATATAAAGGTCCTGTATCTACAAGGGGTGGGGTGTGGGGTGTTCATGGGAACTGGCACTTCTGCCTAGGGCAGAGGGCAGATGGCCTGGGCTCAGTCACAAACCAGTTGTGAATCCTTCACCTTCCTCCATTTCTGGACTTCATTTTCTCCATCTCTACAAGGAGCAGTTGTCTTGAAAGTCTCTTGTGACTTGGAAGGTCCAGGGATAAAATTCCCAAGTCTAGTGCGTGGACATGTAGCCACAGTGGCTGATGGGATCCGCTGAGAGTCCATTTGAGTCACAGCTGTGGTCCCTTTCCCAAAGGACTCTCCCAGTGTAGACCTGCTGCCTGCTCTAGTACTGGGGGTGCACCCTGCAAGAATCCTCTCCTCCCTTCATTCCCACCCTTAGGTCTCTTCCACACACTCCCCAGGCACCCACTTCCTTAGCAAAGAGCAGAGACACGCCTGTGGAAGAGAGGGGGAGCAGCTCTGAGACCAGCTGTGTGATCCTGAGCAAATCACTGCCCCTTGCCCACGTCACTGGACTGCTTTCTTCCTCCACACAAGGAAGGAAGGCGAAATGAGAAGGTCTTTCTAGAATTTGGTAAAATTAAGGTTCTCATCATCTACCCCTGCTGGCCCAGGCCATCTCCTACCATGTGTTGGTATCACAGAGGAATCTCCATAAAAGGGGAAGTCCAGGTTCTCTGCCCCATCCAAGGGGCAGAGCTGAGTGGCCAGGTGAAGATCTAGAACACGTGGGGGGCCACAGGAGGGGCACAGGAGGGGCACCAGCTAGGAGCTGAGAGACAT